GTAGCTCAATTTTCTCAAGAGATATTGAAACAGAAGAACATTTTCAATTGTTCTGGAAATTTCAGAAAAGTGGCCAAAGCTTGAGTCAATTTCCAAATATTGGGGTGTATTTTTGGGGTTTTAATATAGGTGACCCTGAGTTGAATCATTCACATGAATGGGTCCAACTGTAGTTGCCTTTATATTTAGTCTCTACAAAATTTCTGAAGGGGTTACAAGGGAAACCAATGATTTCAAAAAATCCATGCATCTATACCACCCACAAAGCGGACTTACGCTGGTGACCTTTTGACACACCAAAAAGTTGCGGAGCTCCTTTTCCTCACCTCAAACCTGGAATTCCAAGGGAAGATTTCCACACCGTTCCACCCAACAAACAACGAATCGTTTCCGGTGCGGTTTTACGAACTTTGGCGGACTGAGGCGCCATGCATAAAACTGGCACCTTTCCGTCAAACAGGAAAGTTGAGGAATCGCGGGAAACAACTTCCGATGTCGACTCTGGAAGTCGCATGTCACCCACAAAGAAGAGGAATGAGGGATTTTTTCCCCCACATATACTTTCGTGCATGTATTTAGAACAAGTCGCAAAAGAGGTTTGTTTGTTTTCCTTTTAACCGACTCGGGACAGGGTAGTTAGAGCTAGGTCATGACATTCTTGAAGGATGCGTGTGAAAACAAATAAACTGACGAATGGACGAGTTTCTGCACTTTCACGTAGGACAGGTATGGTATGATTTGCTTGTGGTTTTTCAGGCTTTGACTTTTGTTTTAATTGCAGAAATATTGCTTGAAATTTTGAATATTGCTTGCTTGAAATTTTGAATATTGCTTGCTTGAAATTTTGAATATTGCTTGCTTGAAATTTTGATTTCATTTTCTTACTTTCATTGATTGCATTCTTCAACTAAGAAAACCAACTCCTATGCTAGAAATGCATGGAAAAAATGCTGATTGAGCATGTGAAGATTGTTGGGTATTAACCCTTGGACTGGGGTGGGTTCCTTTCCATCCTACCCAAGAGCCTGGACTTTTTTCAGAAGCAGCAGCAGGAAGGTTGCATTTCAGTTTGACCAAAGGTCACAGAAATCCTCCAGGGTGGAAAGGCCTAAGAAGGGAAAAATCTGGGAAGGGTCAATTTTGTTGTTTCTTCAGAAATCACCAATGTTCATCCTGTGCTGAAAATACAGGAATTAAATGCAATGTTTTTATTTATTTTACAAGCAAAATTTTCTGGAAAATTAGAAAAAATATTTGAGTTCTATGGACAAATTCAGCCTTTGTTCAAATATGAAATTTTCTTAAATTTCAATGCTTATTGGCACAAAATTTCCCAAATTTATTCTGAATTTCCACACAAAGGTTAACATAACCAAACCGTGGAATGGATGATAACAGGGCAGTGAAAAAACATGAAACGAGGTAATCAGCTGGTTTGTGGCCATCAACAAATATTCTAGGAAACACCTTGAACATGTGTTCTTGGGTTTTTTTTAGAAGACCCTTTTTTCTTCTGAAACTTTCTGCTGAACAGGAATGTATCTGAAACATTAATGAATGCAAAAATCACTCATGTTTTCAAAGATCATTTTCTTTTGGAAATTTTGGACAAAAGAGCTTTAAAATGCTTTTGGGTGGTTAGGCTTACTGAGGTAGAGTATTCTAAGAATGCTTTTGCAGATACAATGATGTTGTACAAATCGAAGTCGGTGCCTTCTGAAACAATAAGAAGTCATGATTATGAGGTACAAAACAGTATTCATGTATTTTTGAATGAAAAAAAATCATCTCAGATTAACAATCTGCATGAAATATATTTGTTGCTGTCCAATTTTTTTCCATTCGCTCCTCAAGTTGTTCCTCGAGGCTTTCCCAGAACATAATTCCGCCAATATTTTGCATAGAAAATGTCCAGAAGTGCAAAACTCATGATGCATTTTAAAGCTCGGTTCAACTTGATGATAAATATGGTAAACATAGTCAACATTCCAAGTACAAATCACAAGCAGGATCTTCAGCCGCTACTGCTCATTTGCATGGAAGGCATTTGTATACCAGTGCTGCTAGCAGCAGAAGACAATGGAGGAGGTTTGAAATTCTTGGGCCATTTCTTGTGCCTGTGGTAATGGTTGTGGAAGTGATCATGGTTGTGCCTGTGCTTGTGGTTGTATTTTCTGAAATTATACAGAAAGGCGAGTTTTAAGGCTGGCCATCAAATATTGTACATCTTATTAGCAAAATATTGCCCCTGGTAACCATCATTCCTGCTTGAAAACAATGTGTATGGACCTAATCTACCATCACCACAAGACGTTGGTCCCAAACATGTCCTTTCATAAATCAATAAAATTGTTCATGCAAAAAATGCAGCATTCATTGTAGTTTCATTTTCTGAAATTATATACAATAAAGAAAAAATTTAAGTTCAGCCATTGAATACAAGGACAACTTGGCTAAATAATTCCCCTGACAACAATCACTTCTGATTTTTTGAATATACCTGATCTAACTTCACAAACCAATAAAGCACTAAACTAGCTGCTGGAAAACATTAGTCCAAAAAGGGTCCTTCCATAAACCAATAAAATTGATTTTAAAAAACAAACTTTAGTCTATACATTTTCAGGTGCAGGTACCTTGCAATTTAACCCTAATCTATTGCCAAACCAGGGTCAAAGTACAAAGCATTCAAATTGCAAGACACTTTGTGAAATTCAAAAATATAAGAACAGAAATGCGAAAAAGTGGCCAAAGCAGGTCAAATTACAGGGCAAAGGTCAAAATGCAAGTCAACCTCCCTGCAAATTTGACTGTTGGATTGTGGATGGTCAAATCGTGGGAGGTCAAATTGAAAGGTACTACTTGTACCAAACTTTTCAAATGAATAGATGGTATATGTTAGTCAAGACTTTTTGACCCAAGACCCCATTATTGAACTGCAGATATTGGAGCACTGTATGGTTTAAACAAAATTTGCAAAGAGTTTCTCTCATTTAAGCAGAAGCAAATAAAAAAGTTCAAGGTTGAGACATGAAAGGTATCTTTTAGCACCATCCTGGAAAATACCTCTCTGAATTAAAAATAAGCCCTGATAATTTCCATCAATGCAACTTTTTTGACATACAGTACAGTCAACCCCTGGTTCACAGACTCCCCAGCTTACAGATTCTTGGTTCAAGGACTACAGTATATGTTAATTTAAAAAATCTGTCCGGTTTATGTACCTTAAATTGGCTTATGGACTGCAGTCCACAAGCTATTTATCTTTTTGTTGACTTTGAAAATTTGTTTAAAATCCAATTTTGAACTTTTTTAAAAGTTTTGCAGGTTCAAATATGTTACCTGAATCTCCTTTTTTATTAAACATGCCAAAATCTTGAACTTTGACAAAGTTGCAATCAACAATCTAAAACCTATTTTGAAAATTGTAAAAAAATTGACAAAAAGTTTTTTACTTATAAGAATTTTAGCTTTTACAATTTTCAACATTTCAAGGCAAAAATGTGTAAACTTGTGAAACATCAGTGTGCATGACACCCTGCATAAATTAGGATACAAAACAGTAATGAAAATTAGAAATCACAAAATTATGAATACAATAGTGGAAGTAAAACATGGCAAATGGCTGGTGCACAACCCCACCAGGGATTCTCTCCCCAAAAGTGCAGACCTTTCTTTCAGAAATTTGAAAAACACTTGACAAAGAATATACTGAATGCCCAACACAAACAATTTACACAAACTTTCCCAAATTAGTCAAGAGGAATTCAACATGAACCATATATAGATTTTGAGATAAATTTTGTAACGGTTTGTTTTCGGGGAGAATCTGGGATTCTTATGTAAATTTTTGGGAGGGGTTGTATTGACAAGGTACCCAGGTCACCAGGTGCTGGGTTTTGAGTTTTGAAAACACAAGGTGCTGGTGTTTTCAACTTTGACACTGGAGTTTTGTGTGTAAGGCTTTTAGTGTTGTGCTTTTCCCCTAGGACTGGGTGTCTTGTGTATGTTGAAACGTTTACAAGGATGTGCAGTTATTTTAGCAGGAAAAACAGGAAATTGTCAGGTTTTTGAGGTCACATGGAAAACTCTGTTTCTTGATGGCAAACACTTAGACTTGGAGTTTCAGGCATGACAAATGATTTTAGCAACAGTGGGATAAATTGGCCAGCAGCTGGTCACATCTGGGCTTCTTTTTTGGCTTTGCAGAGGAGTTTATTTGACCAGAGTTTGGGGAGGCAAAATAAAAGGGGCAACGCTGCCTTCCAAGAGGGAGAGCAATTTATCCTGTTGAGAAGTTCCCTATTGATCCCCCTTTTTCGTGGCCCCAACAAGGGGATTATTCTCAGTTTTTGGTGCATCCCAACTCCCAAGACATGCGGATTAAATTTCATATGGACCCTTTGTCCCTTCCCAGAGACTCTAATTCAGCCAACAGAATTGTTGGAAAAATTCTGCACACTACAAACAATTTTCAAGTTACATCAAAATCAAAAAAGTTAGAATGAGCTAAACTGAAAAGTTGGAATTCTTTTATGTGTTTTTCCCCACTGATTTTTCCTCTAAAATGATTTGCCAAAAAGTTAATTTTTAAACTGCATTGGAAGTAAATTGAAGTTTTCTACAGTTACCGTTTTTAAACCTTGAAAAATTAAAATTGACAAGGGTAAAAATTAGAATGTAATTTTTTAAATTTTTGGAAAAGGACAGTTATTCATAATTATGCATATTTTGGAATATAAATCAATATTCTTAATTAATTTGCAAATTCTCTCGCCAAAGTAAGATTACATGGTTAGTTAGCATTATTCAAGTTTTGGGCACAAAAAAAAAAAGAAACACACAAGACGTCTTAGTTGTTGCAGAGGATTTACAGCAACACAATATCGTAATACCGACAATAATGCAAAATATTTTTGAAGGAATAACTACAAAATAGTAGTACAGTACTGCAGTTCATTATTTAGACACAACACAATTTTTTTATTGCTCAATTTAAGTCACCTTTTGATGATTTTGATCTTCATCTTGGGCATTTGAGGGCGTTGAGGATTAGGTTCCTTCTGCTTCTTCTTGACCTTTTTCGGAGGCTTCTGACCTTTCTTCTTTTTCTTTTTCTGCTTCTTCTTCTCTGGTTTCGGTTTATCCACATTTTCTTCTTCAGGCCCAGTGCTGGAAGAAGGCTCTATCCCAGAAACCATGACTACCACAGGCCCGGAGGAACTGCTATTTTCTAAATTGGCGTAATTTCCGCTGCTGTTTCCTTCGTCGCCGTTTTCTCCTGTGCCCCCGGAAGAACTTACGGACGCTTCAGATCTGCGGGACTCTTTGTCATCTGCGCGGGATTTGTTTATTTTCGATGATTGGACTTCCTGTTGCTTGGTTTTCTCCAGCATTTTGGAGAGTTGAGGCCCGGCGTCTTTGGCACTGCTCCTGTTGCCGTGGGTCAGGTCAAAGGGGTCGAGTCGTGGCGAAATAACAGGGTCTTGTGGTAGTTGATTGTCAGAATTTCCTTCCAGGAGCTGATCGAATCTGATGACACCGGATACGCAGCAGCAGAACAAAGCCAGGAGCAAGCCGCCTTTTGTGAACATCCTTGGCAACATATTAGTAAACTGTGAAAGTCAAGATAGAATAATCTCTTATAATGTAACACACTATCTTCTCGCACACGGTACAGTACACTTGTACAATGATCCATGCTGTCCAATTTCATGCGCCGGCTGGACACTACAAATTCTTCTCGCGACATCTATATTCGATTATTGAACCTCGCCTGGGCAACACTGTTGACGTGACAAGCTAGATAACACGACTCACTCAATATCTTCTCGAAGAAAGTTGAATTATCAACTGAGGTAATTGCTCAATGCAGTCACTCCGATAACTATAAAAAACTCTCAACCTAATAACATATTTTAGGAATCACGAAGGAAAATATAAAATACAAGATTAATTTTCTTTCAACACAATGGAGTTTAGGTACTAGCTGTTGATCAAATGCCCAGCAGCTGGTCTAAATAATCCAGATACGTACTGTTACTTTGAGTGCGTAGATCATTTCAAAATGTCACAGACTGGAAGAAAATATTAAATGAATTTTACAAACGATGAAAGGAAAGTGAATTGAACATAAAAAATATGAATTAAAAACATTTCTGTTCAGCGATCAAGTGTCAATCATTTTTAAAATATAAGGTAAACCGCCAGACTTGAGGTGTCGAATAAAATAGGAACATTCTCTAAAAGAATGAATTAACCATTCATATCAAGTGTAGAAAACAATTCTCAAGCACCTGAACAGTTTATTTTACACATGCCTCCGGATTTCCGGCTCCAACTTCAAAGTTAGTCAGGAACTCAGGATTCATGTCATAAATGGAAACTCTCAATATCAAAATGAAACGAAAAAATTTAGGAAAAGGTAGTAAACGTATCATCAAATTTTCAGCCAGGATAGTCAAGGATGGTTTGTGAAAGTGATAGCAAGCCAAATCGCACTATAAACGATAAATTGGGACGATTGACAAAATATGTTGGTATGTTTTTGATGTAGTATTTTGACATAATTTTCAGCGTTCATTCCCAATCTTTGATGAGTCATACTTTGTAACCATCCTTTCATATCCAACGCCAGTTATTTTTCTGTCTATTTAAAATGTGAGTATTTTTATGTCAAAAACTTGAAACTTAGCTTCTTGATCGGATGTAGTGCACAAGATTATAAATCATCATTTTCGAACAGAAGGAAGGAATCAAATGGAGACTTCAAGTGCGTCTCTCTTTCATCCGGAAAAAGGTTCTTCGAATTCACCCAGATTTGCGTACGATATTTCTTGCAAGCAATTGAAAAATTTTCGTTGAAATTCAGTGTAATTATCTAACACATTCTTACTAAGAACCTTTCGACTTTGTTCGAGGTCAAAGTAGTCAAACCAATAGACTTGCTTGCAAATTTCACGGTTACAGGACTTACATCTTACAACATAACCTAATACTGTACTGATGTTACATAGAATAGTGATCAACAAAGCGCAGTTGCGCGACATCTTGTACAAACTTTCAGAGACCTCGTAAATGTTTCGCTCAGCTCATCCACCAGGTCAAGGTGAGTATTACTATCTCAAGCTAATTCTGCCGTCAAATCATAGGGAAGATGAAAAGACTTGAGATTTGTCCAGTTCATGTGCCTGAATTTAACGGAAAAATCTGTTGATCATTGGAAAATGCTTGATGTTTGAATGGTAAATGAAGAGAAAGTGTGGCCTAGCAATAATAGTTGAATTGTTTACCATAGTTTTGTATACAGTATTTTGAAAGAATGAATGAACTAATGAAAAGAAAGCTTTATTTTCTGCTTTCCAGCATTCATGAGGTTCAATCAACATTTCCATGTCCAAAATACCTCCCCACACAACCAAAATCCTTTCAAACACATTCAATCACTTCAGAATGGGAAAAAGAGAAAAATGCTGTATAGTATATGGATACTGAAATGAAAGAAAATGCAATCCAAAATGTACAACTGCATTTATATTTTTGGTTTTATGAAAAAGCTATGCGCAGATTACCTTGCATCATTTTACATTTTCTGCAGTATCCAGACTATCCGCACATTTCCTCATTCTTCCACATTTTTTTTGCTTGTCGTCCTGGCTATTTGCTTCATGGAGTTTGACTTGTACTGTATTCAGTTAAAAGAGGGACTTTTGAAACCTTCTTAGAACTCATCAACTGCAGTACCACATTCTGCAAGGACTCTGCAACTCTGCAATGTGGTCCTGGAGCACAAAACATGCATCAATATGGCCCTTGGCCACATCTGAGTCAGTCAGCCCTGTTTTAAATGCATTTAATGGAGTGTATGACAGGTGGAGTCTCTCTACAACAATCTTTTCTACAGTGATATTTTCTGTGCAACTTTTTGTTCTTTGTTTCCATCGTATTCTCTCCTCAGTATATATGGGTTCTCTACAACACATTTCTCCCTAGGAAGAAATTTTCTCTTCTCCCTTGAGTATCATTGTAGAGAAAGAATCAACCGTATGTATGCAGGTTCAAGGTTTGAGCTCTGAAAATATCACAAGACTCAACCAACACTTTCCACAATAAAACTGGCTCTTATGAACAGGTCATGTCCTGAAAAAGTACAGATTTCACTGCCAAATTATCCTGAAATCAACTCAATTCCACGTTACGATTTCCACCCAATAAAAAAGAACCATCAGGTGAGTAACGAGGGTGTTATCACCAGCACTTCTCGCGTGTCGAACCGGTTTTGAAGCTATTCAGCTGCAGACACGTGGCTTTTTGTAAGCCACGCGTGTTGCTTCCGCGCAGTGATTCAATCCATTCGGCGATGATCCGACGCACCGTCAAATTGCCGTAATGTTCGGCCAGGTGTGAAGACCCCCGAACGCGACTAACCAACTGCGATATACAGTATAAATATCATGAGTGTGAAGAAGAAGAAGAAGAACGTTGTGGAGATATTGCAAGGAAAGAATAACAAGAACGTTGTGGAGATATTAGAAGGGAAAGAATAACTTACGCTGAAATAAAAAAGAAAGGAAAATAAGATGAACAAATAAGAAAAAAGCACGCTTGAGCTTTCGGTGAAAGCTGTTACAGAAAATGTAAGTTCATCTCGAACTGATCGAAAGTTCGGGATTGATGCTTTTTTCCGAGAAAAATCCTCTTCCTGTCGTGTTCTTTCTTGTCATCGCTTCCCTGTTTCATCAATTTTTATTTTTATGAATGTCAAATAATCGACATTGATACTTTTTTGTCCATTGAATGCTGCATATAAGTGGAGAAATGAACATATCCGCAATTTTTTTTAGGTTTTTTTTCTACTGGAAACAAATTCCCACGAGAACCACACAATAAATTCGCAAGACACACGTCATCAACCGAAAAAAAGCAGGATTTCATTCAGTTCCTGCGAATTCTGACGTTTTCCATAATGAAATATTCGAAATTACATAAAATACGCAAAATTATGTTTCATCTAGATGGGAGAGAAATAATTTTTAAGACGGCAGGAAGAATGGGCAGGATCACAATAGTTCTGAATTTTCAATTTTTCTATTAAAAAAATATGAGATACACGATTAACGAATGAAAATTATGGATTTCACTTCCAGCAGTTCAGTAGAGATTTCCTGCGGTGGAACTCGGGTAATTCAAGAGGTTGTCGAAACAATTTCTTTTTCAAAGTTTCCTTGGTCATTCATGCAAATTCAAATTAAGTTAGAAAATTGGAAATCATATTCATGCTTCAAGAATCATAAAACCCTGCATCCAGCATGGCTCCATTATTTTTAAACAAGAAGAAATTCAAGTCAAGCGCTTCCAAATATGCGTCATGAACACTGTACGTGGTTGTCTGAGTTATTTTCGCATTTTTTTCGGACACAAAAATGGGAACTCCCAAAAATCGCTATTATAAAACTCTTGAATGAAAAGTTTTTTCACAGATTCAAAATTTCAGTCCAAAATGCGAAGCTTCGATAATTATGCTGATTGGTGTGTCAAAATGATCGAAATCCCATCGCTCTTAGAAAAATACAGTACAGTGCTCTCATTCGTCAAATATTTTCGAAATGGATCCTTCTTCCAGCTGAAATCCAGGTTTTCAGCAGGGATAATTGTTCTCATAACGTCGCAGTTCATTAATTGGTCCCAAATTGTTGGCCATACACAGCACCCACACTGTATTTTTTTTTCTCATCACGATCCTTCGATAATAATTTATAATTCACCTTTACAGTGTTTAACAAAATAAGCTTGGATGATCTCGGAAGACGCATTCGCGGAGGAGAGATTCAAAACAGATGATCCACGAACGTGATTTAACTCGTGTGAAAAAACCAGTGAAGTATGAAAAAAAAAACTGTCTGTATATTCCAATAGAGAAGAGAACATGGCAGATTACCAGAAAAAAAATCTTGACGATTCCAATAAGTCAGCAGGACTTGAGCGATTTTCAGTCTACCCAAGACTGTGAAAGTCTCCGAGAAATCTGCGAAGTTGCCAAAAATATCTTTCCGAAAGTTACGAATAAAATCCCTGGTATTTTCAAATAAAATTCCAAAAAAGTTTCTGAAGCAGATTTCCTAAATTTTCGGATACGATTGTCGAGATTTTCGGGCGGAATTTTCGTAATTTTCAGACATCGACCTGCGAAAAAAAATTCATGTCCATATACTTATCGAAAGATCAAAAAATTAATTTTTTTGAAACTATTTTCTTCCTCACGTTGTTTGTTTTTCCAACCGAAGTTTTGGATGACTGGATGAGCGATTCCTTATCGCGTCGTTGCAAATGACGCCGATCGAACTGTAATTACGAGACGAAACGCATGATGACTAATTGCCACGGGGTGGCCATAAATCCATGCAGCAGAATTTTCGGTGCAATGAGTATAGAAAGTGGCGAGCAGTTCCAAGGAAAAATGCGCTGTTTTTCTTGTGGTTTTCCGGTAATTTTTCTCTCCTCTTCTCCTTCCTTGTGCTGTTCATTGGTGCATTTTCCATGGATGCTTTTCGGATCGTTTCACGGCGTGGGAGAAAATTGTGTCTCTGAAGCAACTCACGGAATCTTT